CAGTCTCATTCGCGGCCTGAAAATATGTGACCTGTTGGCTGTTCACCAGTCTCAGAAACACATGTGATGCGTTTGTTTGCTGGTAAATACTGCGATAGTTTGGCTTATTTTACAATACCATTGCAGAATGTGATTATTACAAACCAACGATACACTAAAGCTATTGTTTTTCGAGCATTTTTCTATTTAGAGCATTCCACCAGTCCGGTTAGTTGATCGATCAGTGAGATTGAGGTTAAATTCGATGTGTATTAGACAGTTTAGTTTCCGTACTGAAGAAAGTGGCTGAAAATTCCAACACGTGTGCCCTCATCTAGTAGTCAAAAACGATGTGATAGCGTTACTTTATCCCATGGGTAACTTAGTATTGTCAGATCCGTAGCTGAATATCAAAGTGACGTGACTGGCTGTCGTTGGTTGTTTAGTTCTTGCATTTAATCGCTTTACTTTTTCCTTTGGACGACTTTCTCCTACGGAAGGACTAGTCGGCTTTGTGGAGGAATCCATAAAGATTCCTGTGAATATATGGTTCAAAGTTGTGTCCCTCAGACCCACTTAACATTTTTTCTCCTCGAGGATTTACCTTCAACACCCGCTGGCAGCAGAGGGATGACTACGGTCTTTGTTTACTGGTGACCTAGGTTAACACAAGTCGCAATGTTTCCTTGTGGGTATTTGTGGCCTTTTGTTGCACAGAGATTGCGTATCAGGCGAAAGCGCTTCACATCCTCGGGCTATCAACATCGCGACCACTTATTCAATTCACCAACTGAGTGACATGAGGGCGCATATGGTAATATATTGATCCACTGGTCATAGGCTCTAAGTGTCTTGCGGCCCCATCCTGTTACACGTGGACACAACGGTATATGTGGAATTTGTTTCAGTTTCTGTTTTCGGACGGATTTTTCCGAGGGACTGTAATCAAAATCACGGGCTCATATATTGGATCAGTGGTTGCATAACGTTTCTGTGCAGGTGATCGTCGTTAGACATGCAAACAAACCATCAATGCCGCCAAATGCACATTTTGACTCAACAGCGTCAGCTTATTGCCGGAATGCACCTTGGCATTAACGCGCAAACTAAGTCCTCACGTCATTCTCATCCATCTTTGCTCACCCTCCCCCCCCCTCCCTCGCCGCACATACTCCCAATCGACAGAAGCTTTGCATCGGAGTTGACTGCTTTCCTCCTGTTTCAACCCGGTGTGCACACAAACTCGCTCGAGTCTTTTGGCCTGAAAACTGCGCTAAATCTGCCTTCCTTACTTGCAACCTGGACAGTGGCGGGAACTTGTTTCGAAACCACCAAACCCAAGCTCAATGCCTTACACTTTGTGTTAATATCTTGTAAACAGGCAAGTTGGGTATATGCTCTCCTTCACTTCATCAAACAGTTTATTATTCCGTTCCAATCTGGTCTTGAGCCTGTTGATTAGAATAGAGGACGGTTGTGGAACTACCATTCTTTTTACTAACTACGTTCCATTTTGGAGTGAGTCATTACGAACCTGTGGTAGATCTGTTCGCTGTTATGTATTTTTCAGTGTACATTTTTTACAGCCACGCACTTTCGTGCGCCGGTTTTGGTTGCTGTCTTTTGGCCGCCCACTTGGATAAAAGAACAGAATGAAAATTGCAATGTTGGGAACAAATTCAGCGGTAAGGTAGAGAATTTATATAGACTGGGATTGCAAAAGCATTAAGTAGATACGCGAGCGCCACTGTTTGCGACACTCAACGTCTATGAACCGCGGTTATCATAATCTCACTCGTCTCGGAACAAGTTTTTTTTCATTTAACGACGAAAACCGTAACTGGGCTCAACGTTATATATTTTTCCTGTTTCTGAAGCCCACCAGATAATCAGACCGATTTATTTTACGTTTATCGGAAGATGTACCAGGTGGTTCACTAAGATGTGAACACATTGTTGAGTAGAATTTTCAGCTGCGGTTTATTTGAACTTTACCGGACGAAACTGTGTCAAATACCAATGGGTGATCACAACTCAAATCCGTCCACATCTGAACCGTTTGTATGCATGTGGTGCAATGAGCCGGCCGCTTTGGGTTATCTTTTCGTTGCAGGATGAACTTAATGGACAATGACAATGCATATATGATTTGGTTCAACGCGTCAGGTCTGAGTTTTGAGGATAAATTCGAAGAATTCAGGTCTCGATCCGCTACAAAGGACACCGACCACTTCAACTGTGAATCAATGCTAAGTGTGTTCTCTTCAGATCCGATTACATGTTCCCAGGGAGAAGCCAGTGACTACGGCGGAGTTGAGAAATAACGTGAAAACGCCTGTATCTTCAAGTTTCCAGCTCCCCATTCGTAAATTAGTTCGATAAATCTCGCATACAACAATACAACTAGTGTTGGCTCGTCTTTCCTTCCACCTATACATATTTTTCCATAGTGTAGCGATGAAGGAATCGGATTGACCAAAACGTGAAATTCGCGGAATGTTTTAAGCGCATTGCGTATAACAGCCGACGTTGGCTGAGGATGTAATCCCCATGGAGGGGTTAACAAAATCAATCAAATTTATTGGGTACAAAAAGACCCACGCGTCGCAGATACAATCCCCAAATTCTTGTTTGGTTTGGGATGCATAACATGACGTTGCTAGGTGCATATTCCTTTGATACCACACCTAATGGAACAACTTTCAATGCTGGTTAAACAGCGTGTTCAATCATTGAATCCGGAGCAAAGACAGGGTTTATTTTCAGCAGGATGGTGCATCTGTTCATTATTCGAGGGCTGTGAGAACTTGGTTTGACAAAACATTTACACATAAGTGGATTGGTACAGGTGAACTTGTTTCCTGGCTGCGGAAACCTCTATATATGTTCGTAATTCAGTGAATGAACACTCATTTTTATTTTATAATTCAAACTTGTTCGTTTTTCCCTCAAAGGTCAATCAGCTCTTATTCTGCTGCCGGTTTATTCGTTATTCATGGAAAGTTAACTATAGGTAATTCTTTTAGTTTTTCTAATTCTTAGACTCGATGCATTTAGCTAGAACAAATGTTTTTTTTACTGTCTATTAAGTCCATCCTGCAATGGCGGACAACTGGGACTTGTTTTTCACCAGTAGCGGAAAGACAACACAAAAGCGGTTCAGGAGGGTGTGTGGACGGACCTGTGAGTTGTGATCGCCCGTTTACACTTGACACAGTAAAAGTGCAATCGAACCGCAGCTGAAAATTTCACTCAACAGTTTGTTTTGGTCTTAGTGAATCACTTGCCCTATATTTTTTAGTTAGCATATTGATTTAAGGTGTCAAAAGATCAGATCGTCATCACTGACCGAATGTCCTCCAGAGTCGAATTCATTCTCATGTGTTGAGGTCATGAGGTACCCAGCTGACAAACTTAATTCTGTTTTCATGCCCCAAGCCACCGATCAAAATCATCACATCTTAACCTCACCCTTGGCATTCGTCCAACTGCTGCCTGTCCCCGTAATAGCGATTGCTATCTGTTCCTCTCTGTGACACAAAAGCCTGGCTCCTCTCCCTCTAAGTGAATACTGCCGACGCAACAAGGGGCACATTTTTCACTGAGGCTGTTAAAGGATGCTTATAATATTGCACAGCGATTATCTGGAAAGTCTAAATGCATTTCTTTTCTGCTTACAGTCAAAGCTACNAAAGCTACGCAACACACTTGCATAACTTCAGTTCTTGATCGTCACAATTTAACCTTGCACTCGCCACACAGCTAGTTGGGTTATTTGCAATAGTCAATCGGTTTGTTGTGATATTTGAAAAATCATTCGTTTTCTACTGTTCAACAAGATAACCTGTCAC